AGGCAGAGGCAGAGGCAGAGGCAGAGGCAGAGGCAGAGGCAGAGGCACAGGCACAGGCAGAGGCACAGGCAGAGGTAGAGGCACAGGCAGGTGGGTGGATCTCTCTGAGTTCCAGGACAGCCAAGGCTACACAAAGAGTTCCTATTTCGAAAAAAGAACTGAAAAAAAAAATGTAATAGTATTAGTCTTACACAGTCGTGATGGCGGTCTCGGTCACTGTTCTATTGTTGTGAAGAGACACCATGACCAAGGCGACTGTTATAAAAGGAAGCACTTGACTGGGGGCTTGCTAGAGTTTCTGAGGATTAGTCTATTATTATCATGATAGGGACCATGATGGCATGTCTGGTGTTGGAGTCACAGCCGAGAGCTACATCCTGGTCCATAGCCAACAGAGAGAAACACTGAGAAACTCCAGGCCTGTCACGGGCTTTTGAAACCTCAAAGCCCACCCTTCGTGACACACCTCCAACAAGGTCACACCTCCTAATTCTTCCCAAATATTGCCCCTCCCTGGTGACTAAGCATGCAAATGTATGAGCTCTTATTCAAACCACCACAATAGTAAAAGGAGTCTATGTGTAAGGAACTGGAAAGGGGCTGTTCCAGTGGGTAGAAAACTTGCCTAGCATGCATAATCCTGGGTTCAGTCCCCAGTACTGCATAAACCAGGTACAGTGCACATGACTGTAATCCTAGCACTTGGGAAATAGAACAGAAGGATCAGATAGTCAAGGTCATCTTTCACTACATAGAGAATTTGAAGCCTTCTTAAGAAACAGAAAACCCAGTCTCAAACACACATGCACACATTCACACACGCATGCACACATTACACAGACATATGCATACACACATTACACACGCGTTTGCATGCACAGCTTACACATGCATGTTTGGATGCACACATTACACACACTTGTATGCACATGCATGGACACATTATACAAACATGCATACACATTACACACGTGTACACATGCATACACACATCACACATATACATGCATGTACACATTACAAATGCGCACATGTGCACGCGCGAACACACACACACACAAAGAGCTGAGCTGTTAGGAATAGGAAGTGGTAAATGTCAGTGTGTTTAGACCACACAGCACTGACAGGGATATCCAGAAGAAATCAATTAAGAATAGCTGACACTGGACCCTGGAGGAGGCTGTTAGCACCAGATAACTGACACTAGCAAACAGTGATATAGTATATGTAATATAACTACTTTTTTTTGGCAAAATGCCTTTTATGTGATGCTATACAAATGTGGTCGTGAGGTCAGAAGCCTCTACCTGAGACAGCCAGGGCTGTTGTGCCTACCTCCATGGGGTCTGTATCCTGATCTATACATATGCTTGTGCCTGCCTGTGTGGCCTGTATGTGCTAGCTTGTATCTGCGTGCCTGCCAGCAGCTGCCTGCCTGGTGGCCTACCTGCTGACAAATAAAATATGTATCTTTGAAATCCCTTCAACCCCACAGCTCCTCTTGACCGTCCTTCTTCCTGGCATCAGAGCATGGACCTTATCAGTGACTGGCACAGAGTTCAGGTGATTGATCATTAGCCAATCTAAACAGCACAGGTCCTTGAATATGAAATTTTGTACTTTGTATTTGTTAATCACACACACATGTATGTATGTATGTATGTATGTATGTATGTATGTATGTATATAATATATAAGTATGTATATATATCATCTTTTGCAGTGTTTGGGGCCCTAACCATACCAAGTAAGTATCTACCATTAATTGCAACACACTCTTTGTTTTGTCCTTTAAGATTTATTAATTTTAGTTTATGTATATGAGTGGTTTGCTCATACATGTGTTTGTTTCCCATGCGGCTCCTGGGACTCGGGTTATGGATCGTTGTGAGTAGCCACGCAGGTGCTCGGAGTTGAACTCAGGTCCTCTACAAGAGCTCTTAACCTCTCCTGCGCCCTCTCTCCAGCTCCCTTTGATATTTTTAGGAGGCGGTGGATACATTAGTTACTCTTGTAATTGCTGTGAACAAAACACAAGAGAGAAAAACTAAATGGAAGAAAGATGTATTTTCACTCAGTCTGAGAGGTTCCATCCATGGTGGCCAGGCCCAAATAGCTTAGGCAGTGAGGCTTGTGCAAAGTTGTTCACACAGTGAACGTTGAGGGTGGCTTGACTGAGTATTTGAATTCTTTATCCCTGGTTGGTGATGCTTAGCGGGGAGGCTGGGAGAGTATGGAGTTGCTGTGGGAAGTGTGCCCCTGGAGGTAGGGTTTGATGTCCCCCATTCACTCTCTCTGCAGTTTGAGGTGTGAGCTCTCAAGCCATTGCTACCACCATCTTGCCTGCTGCTCTGCATCCCTGCCATGATGGTAATGGTAAAGACCTCTTAACCTCCATGTCTTCTGAAAACTCACCAGAAACACTCGACCGTGCCTCCCTGATCTCCTAGGCAAGTCTCCATCTAGTAAACTGATGGAATTACTAGCAAAGGACGAAGTGGGGTCGGCTGTGTCTGCTCATGTCGGGGGATGTACCCAAAGAACTGATGGCCACGTGCAGTCTGTAAGAAGAAAGACGGCAGCAAGACAGGTGGGGGGTGGGTGAGTGGGGGGAGAATGTGCTGGCTCAGGAGACTACTAGCATCCACAAAGAGCTCAGGGCTCCGCCCAGGGTGTTCTTACTTTCTGAAAGAAGCAACTGGTCCACTTGACCCTTCTGTGAACTTTGCCTGCCAACTGCAACCCTGCTTTCAGCCTCGCTTTCCTCCTGAATCTTATCCTGAAGACGCCTGAATTTCCCAATCAGTGTTTTACATTCTGAATGAGTTGCTTTTCTCATCATGACAGAACTGGACGGGAGCAACCTAAGAAGGGAGGATCATCCCTCCTCAGTAAAACCCCCTGGAAACGCTGAGACATGACCAGAGGTGAGTCTCCCAGATGACTGATGATTTCAATCCAGTTAAGTTGACAATGAAGGTTAATCATAGCACATCCTTTCAATTTCCCACCTCTCTCTCTTTCTCTCTCTCTCTCTCTCTCTCTCTGTGTGTGTGTGTGTGTGTGTGTGTGTGTGTGTGTGTGTGTGTGTGTGTATCTTAATATGTAGCTCAGGCTGCCTCCAAACTGATGGTCTTTTAGATCCATCAACCAGATTAGGTTTTTTTCTTTTTTTTCTTAAAAAAAAAAAAAAGAATCTAGCTGCATTATTCACATTGCATACAGCCTTAAGCCATTTCTGAAATAGGCATAGAATAAACAAACAAACAAACAAACAAACTTGTCCCTCAAGTTCATGCTCACTTTTCAGGAAGCTTTTGGAACCCAAAATGTAAATATGTGTTCCTTCCCTGCCCGGCTTGTCTCTTGGCCCATTTTTTCCGAGCCTTGGCTCTGAGCTCTGTTTGCAAACCACTGTTCTGCTCCATGGAAACTGCCCTGCAATGCCTGATGTTGTTTCAATGCAAATTAAGAAAGCGAGATGGTTTCTCCTGGCTTTTTTGGCAGATAGCTTATTGTTGGTGGACATGAATTCCCCGAGAATGAATCAGTTAATCACTCACTGACCGGAAGGGACAGTGATGCAAAACAGATTCCTTTCGTCCTGTGATGCAAAGGGCTCACTTAAGAGTTTACATAACCTCAGCTGAGAGTGGTGGAATGGGAAAAGGCATCTCATAGAAGTGGGGCTTTCCTGTGAAATATGAAAGAATAAAACTCAGAGGGAGGCCGTTGTCATTTTGTTTGTTTTTGAGAGTTACTATGTAGCTCTGGCCTACTTGAAACAGTCTATGTAGACCAAGGCTGCCTCAAATTCACAGATACCCACCTGCTTCTGCTAAGTGCCCTGATTAAAGGCCCTGCCGCCACACACTACCTAAAGGTAGTTTTGAACCTGGGCTTCAACGTCTGCTTGGGAAGCTGTAAATTCCAGTCCCTCACACTGTTTCTACAGCTTCGGCTCTCACCTCGGCTCTCACCGTCTGTGTTTGTCTCTCCTCAGATCCCAGCTCCGACGAAAGTTTAAAACAGGAGACTAGGGCTGGAGATCTCAGATGACTTGGTTGGTAAAATGCTTGCTGAGCAAGCAGGGGCACTTGAGTGTGAAACCCTAGAACCCAGGTTAAAAAAAAAAAAGCCAGGTGTGCCAGAAATGCTATCACTCAATAGAAGACAGATGCAGGATCCCTGCACAAACACACACACGCAGGAAACAAAGGGCAATTCTTAATTTCTTCTGATGCTCTGATGCAATAATGCTCTGGTCTTTCCGTCTATTTTTGGTAAAACCAGACTTGCTATTTCAAGAGAAAAAGCACTGTAGAAATAGAGGTGAACTAAGAGTTCTCCCAAGACACCCACTCTCGCCAAACATCTTGGTGAGTTCACAATAAATGAGTCAGAGCTCTTGCTGGCTTCAGTCTCCCTCTCCAGGTCCCTGGAGGTAAGAAGAAAGGCTAGGGACTCAGAGACCAGAGGGATCAGCCATCGCAAAGCCTACTGCCCTGACAGCACACATTTCTCATTTGACTGTGGCTACCCAGGGAGCAGTCATCTAGGGACCTTTCTGAAAAACAGACAGGAGCCATGCCTCTCCAGACCCCGGTGGATCACCCCAGACCTCTTCCATTCATCCCCGATGCTGGCATGTAGAGTTTCTAAGAAAGACATGGTAGGGTGACATTTCCAGGAACTGAGCTTGTTTCCTGAGAGATGTCACACTCTGGAATGTTCCCAGTGGCTGTCAGGGGAATTCTGGGATGACTCAAGTGAAGACCTGAACCAGTAAAGGGTGAGCCATGGCCTGAAACCACATTCTTCACACTCCCACCCCCACCCCCACTTTGTTAAAAGTCGCCAGCTTCGTAAAGGCTTGAGTCCCTCACTGGACCATCAGTGAGGGACCATCAGCCTCACTAGACAAACCAGAGGCCTTTCTACCCTCACACCTCCAATGCTCATTTGCATATGTGGTTAGCTTTATAATGAGTGTAGCTTCTGCGTGGCCCTCAGACAGAATCCACTGTAATGATGGATGACAGCTCCCTTTAAGACTCAATTGAAGTCCAACTTGACACATCCTGAGAGCCTGTGTGTCAGCTGACTGGTCATCATTCACAGCACGACTGTCCACTGCAAGCCTCTGGCCTCTGCATGCATCCACGCCCACGTGCACCTACATTCACATTGCACACACGCACATATACACCCCCACAGGCACACCCACACGCCCACAGTCAAACACACACGCACGCCCACACACCTACGTGCATCTTCAGTCACACAGCACACACACACATGCACACCCACAAACCCAGGTGCATCCGAATCACGTAGCACACACACACATGCATCTGCAGTCACACAACAGACACACACATGCACACCACACATCCAGGTGCATCGGAATCACATAGAGACACACACATGCACACCCACATACCCGTGTGCATCTGCAGTCACATAGCACACACACACAGAGATGCATCCGAATCACACAGCGCGCACACACACATGCACACACACACACACATAGGCAAGCACACATGCTCTCCCACATACCCACATGCATCTGCGCTTTCCCTGTAGGACCCCTGCACAGCAGAGGTGAGAGTCCTACACTATGGTAAACTGAGTTCTGCTCTGTGCAAACTGCTTTTACAGGGGCGCAGTCTCTCCTGTGCCGAGTGGAAACAGAACCTAATGTTTTAACCCTCACTCCCCCATCTGTCTGTGTCCTCCTCCCCCTGCACGGGGAGGGGTGTTGCATCTCTCTTTTCAGAACTGTCTTCACCTGGGAAGCGAGGAGAGTGCACTCACTGGTCAATGCAAGATGAAAGCAGGATTACAAGAGAGGCTTATGGGCCATCACTCTGGTGCACTCTAAAGACCGAGCGCCAGGATAGCAAAGGACTTTGGGAGACAAGACAGCAGGCTCAAAGCTTTACTCTTATTTGCTTGTTTGTTTGGGGATAGAGGGAAAGAAACCGGGGACTTTAAGCATGCTCTGCAAGTGCCCTAGGGGTAATCCGCAGCCCATGCCTTCCACTGTATCCTGTTTAAACGTCGATGTACCAATAGGAACCGGCCTTGTAGCAGTTTTTTTCTTCTTCTTCTTCTTTGGAATTGTGCAACATTTAAAGCCCGCAGAGATGCAAGCGAGCTCACACAGGGAGGCTGCGACTAGGAAAGAGGAAGGAGGTCTGCCCGGGGCGCAGCAGCCCTATCCACCTCCTCCACCCCAATCCCTCCCAACCCCGACTTCGGAGAAGCCTGCCTGGACCCGGGCTTGTGCTGCAGCTGAGATCTGTGCTGGCTCGGGCCAAGGGGGCACGTCCGCGGGGAACAGGACAGCGGCCACCCAGCGCTCACCCAGCCTCTGTCCCGTCCGCCTCGAGCTACTCGGTCCTCGCGGTGAGGCTGGGTCGGTGGAACTGGAGTGGACCTCACCCGAGAGTCGTCGGCATCTCAGCGCCCCCTTGTGGCCTCTGCGGGCACACCTAGCCCAGCCAGGGCCCAGAGGGTGTGTGGCTTGGGTGTCCCAGTCCTAGGCCATGTGGGTTGGTTTTGAGAACTCCACTCCCCCACACCCTCCCGCCTCGCACAGGTATAGAGCTGCGAGCCAGAACCCTGTTTGTGAGTCGTGGCCTCTGACCTGCCTAGGCCTCAGGGTGCTCATCTGTGAAGAGTATTCCAGTAAGGCCCTGAGGCAGGTTTACTGCAAAGCCCAGTCTGGAAAAATACCTGCAAGTCTTAGGACAGCAAAGTCCTTGGTGATGTCATCACTCAGTAATTACCACAGGTAAACAGCCGCTGGACCTCATGTTCCACAGGTGATCGAGGCCCTGAGACTATTGCAAAGAAGCAAAGAACACTTCTTATTTTCCAGTTTAACAGATAATCACAGAGCTAAATATTTGTCATATCTAAATAGGTTGGCATTGTGTAGTCTCAACACTTCAGAGACTGAGGTGGAAGAATCATACTTAGTTCTGGGCCTGCCCAGCTACATAATGAGACCCTATCCCTCCCCTCAAAAAAAAAAGCTCAAAACAAACAAATGAATAAACAACAACAACAAAACCAGGAACTGGAGAGATGGCTCAGTGGTTAAGTGCAATGGCTGGTTTCTGGACCCAGTTTCTATTCTTCACATCCATATGGTAGCTCACAACCGTCTGTAACTCTAGGCTCTGAGGATCCAATGCCTTCTCTGGCCTCTGCAGGCACCTGCTTGTATGTGGTACATAGATACACATTCAGGCAAATACTCATACACATAAAATAAAAAAAAATAAAGAATCTTTAAAGAATACCCATAAAACCAAGAACAGCAGGGACAGGAAGGATATAAGAGGATAAAAGACCAGCCTGATGTACACCTTTAATCTCAGCACAGGGAAGCACAGACAGGTGGATCTCTGACTTCCAGACCAGCGTGGTCTGCATAGTGAGTTACATACATGTATGAAATTGCAAAGAATATTTTTAAAATTTATATTTATCTTATGAGCATAAGTGTTCTGCCTATGTATATGCCTGTGCACCATGTGCACATGTGGACACGGTGCCTGAGAAGGTCAGAAGAAAGCCTTGATCCCCTGAAACTGAAACTATGGATGCCTGTAAGCCAACACGTGGGTTCTGGGAATCAAACCTGGTTCCTCTGGAAGAACACCAGGTACTCTTAATCACTGAGCCGTCTCTCCAGCCCCCAAATAAAACATCTAAAGTAATAACAAAAACAAACAAACAAACAAAAGGCTGGCTTTCCTATCCATTGACCCAGGAGAAAGCCTGGTCCTCACAGTGACCCTTGCTGACCCTTTTTTTTTCAGCCATGAGGGGCAAGGACGGGGCTGCACAGACCCTGGGCTTCCTTCTTAACTACACGTTGACTTTTCTGCACTTTATGTTTTCATTTGTAATTCAGGGATACTAATTCCAAAATCCTTAGACCTGCATGGAGTTCATGTGACTTCTTTCTGGTTTTTTTTAACATTTATTATTTTGTATGTATGTTTGTTTGTTTATTTGTCTGTGTGTGCACATGTGCACATGGCA